ATGAAAGTTGTGCTTTGATGGTCAGGATAACGAAAACTTAAAATTTGCGCACCATTAATTGCCGACTCGTTTTAACGGTTTACTTTGCGGGCACTGGATGCGGAGGTACCGGGTTCGATTCTCGGTAGGATCAATTTGGGAAATGAACTTTTCTAAATTGGTTCTCGTCGGAATGTTCTGGGAAGCGCTTCAGAGTGAATTCCATTGCTCTGGTACTCATATTACAGGGAATTCCTTAGATTGAGACCAGGAATTGGTGCGATTGTGGGGCACATATTATTATTATTTATGGGTATATTAATAATAAGGAATGTACGTACAAATTTTCGGGTTTCTCTTTGTTTAAACACAAAAAGGAACATTAATATTTCAAATCAATGTTATGTTTCAATCAAAATTCTACAAAGTGATGACAAAGAACCTAGAAATATGAATTTGCGAGATTATGTAATTACCATTAAGTAGCTATATGTATATAGTAAATAGGCAACTAAACTGCCTCTGTGGCCGAACGGTTACTATGCCCGGCCGCCATGCAGAAGTCCCAGGTTCAATTCTCGGGCCGACAGAAATATTTGTATGGCCTTACATTTATTTCTCTCGTGAGTTTGGGTGTAATTTGTGGTTGTCTATGAGTGTCCATGGCACCCGCGACACAGGGTTTCCCTGTGGGGGTGCCATGGACACTATGTGGTACACTATGTGGTACAAGCAGTGCTTTAATTGGCAACACTGAAATGGAAACCTAGAATAATGATGCGACCAACTTTCTTTTGCCCTATGAGATTCTTCATATGCCATTTTTTGTGATCCATTAGGAATAAACAAAGTTCAAATTAATCTCATTATAATATTAAAGTTATAATCATTAATGAACAGTTTCATATAATTGAGTATTTGACAATTTATAAATACGTCATAATAAGATTAAAAATTATTAATAATAAAATTGTAATAAATAATAATAAACCTGATTCTCTAAATACAAAAAAAAACTGTTAATCTAAGTCTGGGATTAAGTCTATTATTAAATTTAAAAAGTATATTTAAATAAAAAGGTAGATTTTTAAAAACTTATTAGCATTTAATGCATGCTGTTTCTTTCAGTTCTAATATACTTGCGTATGTTTTTTACTTTGCATAATTTTTTAATATTACAAGTAGAGTTTCATAGACTATATTTCAATAATTTCTCTTTCGTTTAGTAGCGTTGTTCAAAAAACTTGTATTATATTTATTCTATCTATAGTCAACCAATCAAAGAACAATATCCTATAATAGTTGTTATAGATTATTGTTCTTTGATTGGTTGACTTGCAACCAATCAACTGTTTCAATTTGTAAGTCGTTCCGTTTTTTAATATCAGTAGGGCTAGCACGGCAGGGCGCGACTAACACTAGAGCGACATAAAACGCGAAATCTCTATGCAAATTTAGCAGTATCTCATTATTTATGTCATCGCGCCCTATTATGCTAGCCATACAGGAGATCTTTACATTAATAGATTGTTCGGCGCCAGTGCCATTGGTCCAGTGAGTAGTTTTTAAATTCTTGTGGTGTCTACATTTTTGTTATGCCAGGAATATTCTTTTTTACAATAACGTCAACATTTTCAAAAGTTGCGGGTGAAAAAGGGTTAACGCGATGCTTAGGCCTGGCGACCGTTGATGGGACGGCTCGGCAAGGAATTTTTCACACATATACTCTCGCACACATCTCTCAGTCTTTTGTATGTATAAATACGCAACTCCGCTAGCCTTCTTCCACCAGAGCAGCGGTAAGCGAAGCTAGGAAAATGAAGTAATTCTTGAAGGATACTGTGGGATAATTGCTGTCAGTGTGCACTTGCATGTACGGATGCCGAAAGATTTCTTGCAAATACTGTCCCGCCAATAGGCGCTGGGCCTAAGAGCGACAATCGCACGATTAATTTGAAGGCGTCCGCTTTGCTTGCTGGTGCCGAACACTGCGCTCTTTCTGAATCTGGCAGGCAACAGTGCAGGCACTTCCTGTGTGATAGAAATAAGTAAGGCTCATGCAAGCCTTTACACGTAGAAGGGTACAAAAAAAAGATAAATCAAGTACAATATTAAAAAATAATTCAATTCTTTTTCAAGTTAGGCGGACTAAGTTTACTTTAAAATATGCGAGTACGTTGTAGGTATTCAATAGATTTCTTAAATTAATTTAGATTCTAAATCTTCGCTTCTCTTTAGATTTCAAGTGTAGCATACAAATTATTTATTTCAATAGATACTAAGACATTTTTCTCTATCCATAAAAACGGGGTTTACCAATTGACATGATCTCTAAAAGGCATCATAGTTAGGCTATATACAACCTGTCAAAATTAATGGATCATGTTTAAGTTCACTCTGAAGTCGCCTGGAAGATATTACAGTATAGAAAAAGGCCACCTGTAGTACTCCATTTTTATATCTTGTATCTGGTTTCTGTATTTTATTTAATGTAAAATATAATTTAAAATGCCACACATTAGTTTGTTTAAACCAGCACTACGCCGCTCTCTAGGTCCAAGATCTTAAAGTTTACGTTAGAGGAGGTCTGTGCTCAACTGTAGAATGTGTACATGGGTGATTTTTTTGATATTGTGTCTGCTTGCTTCTGTGTAATCAATGTCTTGAAGATAATGTAAACTTCAAAACCTTTTAGTTTTATGATGATTACTTCACATAATCCAAGGTACGATTCCCAGTGAAATAAAATTTGAAAACGATACTCTTCTAAGGTGCGTCTGGTTTAGGTGCTCTGCGAAAGGCCACTGGAGTTATTGTTTATTCTGATGCTCCTAGTAATTGGTGGTTGATTAACTTCATACTTATTTTAAACTAATTTGAGATCACGACTCGACAGGATCTAAAGAGCATGTCAATGGTGGGTCCCCATAATCTTCCTTAAAATAGTATTAAAAGAACATTATAATCAAAAAAAGAAAATTATAAAATTAGGTTATAGTAAGACAAATATTAGAAAACGTGGATATTTATTTTGGATAAAGAAAAGCTAGCAGTGTAAATAGAAATTGGTAGTCTAGGGCTGAACCCAGATACAATGTTATTGTTCAAGTTCTGAACAGATTTTATTCCTGAATAAAGTGATGATGACATTTTTGTGTTTTATTTTTTAAGCGTCACCTCCACTGGAGTTAATCGCCTAATAACACAGAATTCTACAAAAAGGGCTTTTCATATATTATATACTCGGTATAATGCCAAGAAAAAGCCTGATGGCAATATTTTTTTTAAATATTAGTTTTACGGCAATAAATCCATCAAGCAAAATCTTCAACAATTTTTTGTTCACATCTTTTTTAATAAATAACTGAGACTTCCTTCGTTGAATATATTTCAGGCATTTGAAGATATTTTCGTGCAAATAAATTTATAATCTTCACTTACAGTTTTCCAGCTCCGGCACTAGCCCGGGTGCCAACAATACCCTGGCGCCCTCTAGTAGGCACGCAATCAAAATGTAGTATAGAGAAACATATTTTTCCCGAGTTATCGGAAATTCGGGTGCAAATTTTGCAATTATAAATGATGTTGGGAAGCAATAGCCCGTTTACTTCGCTTGCACCGCGAGTTACACGGCTTCTGGAGGTGTCGCGAGCGGCGCCCTGTGTGCCGCTCACCCTGCACCAGCGGGTAAAGCCGGCACTGTTCAAAATATATAATGGTTGAGAAATTGATTTTTGGTTTAATTTTATTATGATCTGAGTTTCTTAATTTATTGTTTGTTGCTTATTTAAGCTGATGGCTCTATAGCTAATGCTCAACAAATAAATAATTAGACAAATCCTTCCATTCAGCCGGATTTGAACCGACGCCTTCTAGCAAACCGTGCTAGACGCTATGCAGACGAATTTTTCAATGTGCTTGTTGTCGGATCTTTGTGTTTGGTTTTCAACGAATTTTTATCCGTAGCGCTATATATGAGAAATCTATGAAAGTTATATATTATTTTTTTTACTTCTATGTCATATTATTTTGTATTAATATTTATTTGTAATTTTTAATTGAATAAGCACATATCCAGTTATAGAAACAAGAATAAATCAATGAGAAGGCAATTTTTATTCCCAAATTACAGTCTACAATGTTCAATGATAAACATAGGGTAACTAGTCCTTGAACTAAGAAACACCAATATAGGAACAGGACTTTCTGTACTTTGTGGTTTGACATCATCTCAAAAAGTAATAGGTACAGTAACTAAGCATATAAGTGTAATACATGCATTTAAAGTTCCACCATTTCACATAATGTTTATTATATACCAAAGTGTATACTCTAGCGTCGAATAGCCTCAAATTGTATCTTTCCAGAAACACATAGTGAATTCCAATCTTTTGCTGCATGCTATTGGGTGGCAAGTCTATGACATTAGGATTAAATGTTTCAGGCTTTGTAGTAATCCAAAGGGAGAATGGTGAGGGTTTTTTTGTTATAAAATATAATAAATAATAAATAAATAAATAACGCACACACTCAACATAGCCCCGCACTAGGGAAACCCTGTGTCGCGGGTGCCATGGACACACACTTAGACAACCACAAATTACACCCAAACTCACGAGAGAAACAATTGTAGGCCATACAAATATTTCTCCCGGCCCGGGAATCGAACCTGGGACCTCTGCGTGGCAGTCCGGTATGGTAACCGTTCGACCACGGAGGCAGTTTAAATCTAAATAAAGTTTAATATCTAACCTCTGTCTCACCTGATGGACAATGACGATGAGGTGAACAATGGAGCATGCACACCGAAATATTGCCTATTCACTCTCGCCTTGAAAAGGCCCAAGTTATAATGTTAACCATATGTGGAACTAAATTGCAAAGTTTCTGTGCACTCTCTGAAATGTATCCGAAAGGAGAGCAACAAGCAGGCCACTTTCCTGCGGTGATCAATAATCAGATGTTTCAAATAAACAAACCAACTATTAACAAAAAAATTTATTACAAATAACTTAAATAAAACTTAACACTACACATCCAAATATCGCATCATTCTTCTTCTATTACTTCTGTGTCTTCATCTTCGTCTTTCTTTTTTCCCGCGCCCGATTTTCGCGCCGACATGGCTTGTTTATACGTTTCCAAAGCTTCACTCAACGGTTCCACAAAACGATCAAATTCTATATCTTTCATGGCTTCTAACACATCGTGGCCGGTTAAAGACTTCTTGTTCTTATTTTTAACAATATTAGTAGCTGCTGAGGTAACGTACAACACGAAAACTGACGCCGCTTTAGCAAGTCCGGTACGAGCTTCTTTTGAGATCTGTATTCCTTCCGGTAATGTTTCTTTCACTATTCGAGTGACGACTGTGAGTGGTAGGTTTAAATCTTCTAGCTTTTCAGCCATTTCTCTAGCTTGATTGGGGTTAGAAATAGTAAAAACACTTGTGAAAATACAAACAACCGCCAAAAAGCAAAACAAATTCTTTTGACTTGACAGTAACTTGACACACAATGACATTGACAGTTAAATTTTCGTGTTGCCATAATAAAACTAAGTTGGGACATCACAATCACAAATATCTTGGGTTTTTTCAAAGCATGCTCCATCTTCTAGTACATTGTCACGTACCATTGGGCGACATTGTCGTTCGTTTTATTGGTTTTCTATATAAAATGTATTTCGAAGACTGAACAATTGACAAAAAGTTTGTCTTGAAAACCGCATTTATTCCATACTAGATGGCGCTGAGAGAGAATAATGAAAAAGGTTTAACTACTCGGCGCTAGCTGGCGCTTTTAAGATCAAATTCAAAATACGCGCTTAGGCAGAAAGTGTTGCACAAACATTTAAGAATTCATGGACTTCATTCTGTTAGATGGGCATTAATAATTAAGATAACTATTTTGTGATATAAATTCGTGGTTGCAAACTAGATGCAATACACCGTACATGCATTTTTAAAATTAGTATTACACCCTTTCCACGTCTCTCCCCACGACAACAACAAGAAAAATCTTACAAAATGGTTTGTTGTATCATGTGCATTGATTTTATTTTATTAATAGTTTTGCCTTGGATACAAATCTTTTGAGCCATGTATTCGTTGAATTATCGGGATCCTTAGTAATATTTGCCATTGTAGTTGTAAATTCTAATACATTATGTTTTCACATTCTCTTAAATAACTTAGTTCACATATTTGGGTTTATTAAATAGTCTTTTAAGCGGCGGGAGTCAATATTTATGTTGTGCTTTCACTTAAATCACATTATCTTCTATCACTTTAAACCTATAACTTTGAATTCGTAATTAGTTGAATATTCAGGCTAAAGTCTTTTGTAATTTGGTTTAAAATAAGGAACATAGTACTAACTTTCTTCATCAATATTTCTTTCTTCGTTTTTTCTTCATAATATACTTAAAATAAAAATAATCTTTGTAAAATCTATACTCATAACTTCAAAAACCCGCCATTTTTCTGTTCATTGATTTCGATAGCTACCAAAATTAGGGTTGGGATAAATACAGGTGACCTACATAGAAGTAATATAATACAATAATAGGTTCGCACCAGTACGAATGTAGTGCTCCCCTATCACGATGGGGCTCATGAGTCACATAATGGGTTTTACGTGAGTGAATGACATCAACAACGTTCTTTCTTCGAAATCGTAACATTAGGGTGAACCATATGGAATTATTAAAAACGAGAATGCACTAAAAAGGGCCGCCCTTGAAGTTCAATATTTCTAAATCCATCAGATTTATTTTTTTCTTAGTAGTTCGCCTCATTCACTGCCGGGCATAGATCTCTTCGAGACGACACGTCATTCCTAAACCCAATAAAATAGATTGAGTGCGAATCGTTATCAGAAGTCTTAATGTAGCAAATACTTTTTTATAAGTACTTAATGATCTTGTGTTTCAGTGGCCAAGCAACACACACACGTGAACAATCCTGGGTTGACGGTAGAAATAATTCCGGTAAGTAACAATTCCCGTGAGTGTCATGTCCTGTATATTATACAGGAAATTTAAGAAAATTAGGAAAATTTCTAAAATCTTTTGTATATGTTTGGTCCATCTCTCCTGTCAAGAGCAACGATTCTTGGGACTTTTTGAGACGCGTATATCGAGCAATTATATATATATATTTTGAGGCTGATAAGTGAGAGAAACTTAAGTGCAGTAATATGTTTCATAAAACAGCTGTTATGCGTTATCACGGCCATCACAATTCCTTATTGCCCCATACACGCCCTATTTACTTAAAAAGTATTGAATGACCCAGTCCACTTTAATAAGTCATCCAATTAAACCCCAGGGTGCGATCGCCTATCGAATAAGCACAAGTCTGCAAGTTATGTATTGCGCAAACTCGCGCCATTTTGAATGGTAACTTGTCATTTCAGTGCGCCATTGACTCCGGTTCGGAACAGACGTTACGCACTCGCTCTTTCTGTACACTATTTTGTGTTTATAAAACTGTTTTTATTAACAAAAACATGCCCCTACGTTAATTTAATTATATGTTAATTTTTATTAGAAAAAAAATCTTTTGAAGGTCGAAATTACAGTGCGTTTATTTTTGTTTGTTTGGTTTTGTAAAAACTCAATTGTTTTGTGTTAAAGGTTATTGAATTTGGGACCTATTATGCGAGGTAAGAATTAATGTTTTTTCTGTTTCTTGACTTTTAAAGAATACCAGTTACTTCTTATTACTTATTCAGCAGTAACGTATCTAGTGTTGATTTTTTATTTGTCACTACATCACTATTTTCATTTGCTGTCAAATTGATTTTAAAAGTACCCTCAATGTTTTCTTAAATGTTTAATTATGCACACGTGCGTTTTGTTCGTAAATGAATGTCAGTTTTATTTATTTTGAAATTGTATGTAATGTTTGTATTGTAGGAAAATTTAGAATCGTGATAACAATTGCCTATATTTATAATTGAGTTCCATAAAATAATAATATCTATGGCTGCTCTCGCACCGTGGGGAAGCTAGAGACAACAGTTCTTTTTATACAGACTTATCTATTGTAGTCTTTTATAGGACAGCTGTAAATTTTGACGTGTTCTGGTCTTTACAGGGAAGGCAACTGTATTGTTAACAAATGATACAAACCAGCTAAATGTTTATCGAACCACGAAGTCGTCATGGATGTCTTGGTTATTTTGTTATCTTGTATTCAATCTTGGTTCCTTTCTAGGAGAGCAGGTATAATAAAATCCATTAACTGGTCATAAACTAGTGAATTCCTTGGACATGAGACATAGGATTAGAGTTAAATTAAGTTTAAAAAAAAATCTTAAATTGATTCCACGGGAGTTGTAGACGTGACCTCCTTAATAAACGTCCATAGTACGTTAAGTAAAATTTTGGTTCAAAGGGTCTCATCAGTGGACCTAAAAATTCACCCCCTTCATAAATAACAGGTATTACCAAAGTATAATTTTTTACAACAATTTTATGTTTTCTGTATCAAGAATTTCTGGTTGTCGTGCGTTAGTTATGGTAGGTAGTAAAAACCATTTATACATATATCAAGGCCGTATCTTTTATAATAATAAAAATAGTTGTACTATTCATATTAGTTATGTATTACTGCAGTGCATGGTTCAATTTACGTTGTATAACTATGGCGTTAAATCGTTTAATTAGCAAGAAAGTTACAGCCTGCGATAATTAATAATAATAACCTGTAAGTAATACGAAAATGTTTAAGTCAAACGTAAAGTTTCGCCAACGTCGTGATTTGAGAATACTTTCCACTCTTTACTCTATCATTAACGATAAATGTGCACCAGGATATTTGAAATGTAAATTTCAGTATTTGGGTGCATACCATAATCGCAATCTTCACACGGACAGCAAATTGATTCTTTTAATTCCTTCTCACCGTACTGATTTTCTTTCTAACTCATTTACTCTTTAGGCAATACGACTCTGGAACGCTCTACCGCCTCATATTCAAAAAGCGCCAAATAAACTAGCTTTCAAGCAATTAGTTCGCAATTTGAGTCTCAATCTACATCCCATTAGTCTGACATTGTTATATATATGTATATTGAATATATATGTGTATGTATTATATATTATGTATTTGTGTGTATATAGGTTGCATATATAAGTATATAGTTAGTCATATAATATTATGTGCTATATTTATATTGAGTTTAAACTATGTATCATAATTATTTATAAACTTCTTCCTATCTGTTTTAACCCATTTGCGCCCGCCGTGCCCAATCGAGGACACTACTTTGAGTACCCGTAATTTTTTTATATTACTATTAATACTCATTACAAAAGTGTATATGTAAAGTAAAATAGTGGATCTTAATTTTATTATTTAAAAAAATTGTTTAGAATTAAATAAAAGTGGTTTGACTGTTCCTTTTGTGGGGTTAACTTACGCACACGTGAAACGCTAAAGTTAGTTGTTTTTCCTGTATGTTATTACCAACAATTTATTTCTTTTTTTACATATATTATTGAAATGTATTCGTATACTATAAAATAAAAATTATATAATTGAGTTAAATAGTGTTTTGACAACTTCAGACGGTGGTATATAACGGTGTCCCCAATTGGGGCCATTGGGCGCTTATGGGGTAGTTTATTAGTTTTTCATCTATAAGTAATTTTCAACGAAATAATGACACAACAGGTATTTGGCAGCCACAATTATTACTATGGGCTTCAGAAAGCTATTGAAGCTGTAATGGATGAGAGAGACCATGATGTGGAGATAGATTTAGGGGGCATTTCCCCTGGAACTGAGGGCGCTCACCAATGTAGAAGTACTATTCTTATGTAACAAGATCTAATAATCTACGGCAAACTGGTTATCGAACAACTGAAACTGTCTGCAAAGGAAAAACTAAGAAATATCTACTTGACCAGATTTGTAATACACATGTAGAGTAAAACCGTGCCAATTTTGACTATCGATTTTACCCAATCAACCAAATTCTGTTTTTTCCATGGCTTGACAATAGTATTTGCACGATGAGCTCTGATTATGATAATGTCCTTTCTCTGGTGAAAGTAAAAAGATAAAGCACTGTGAATAAACAGAAAGCTGACGTGGGTATCCTGCGTGATTTCAAACGTACCAGCAGGATAAATCAAGCTGACCAATCTTTTTGTATCGCACTGCCATTCGAGGCAAAAACTGGTGGTGTGTTTTGTTCCACTACAAGCTGCACCTAGCACTAGCTAATACATGGCGTTTACACCTCCTGACCAATAATACGAAGCTAGATCAGCTACATCAGTTAAACGGTTACATCACGTCACTATTGGAGAAACAAATACTCAAAGTTTACATCCAGCAGCTTCTTTGGTGCTAAATCTACAGAACATTGGTGTTGATCACTACGCTCAGAAGTTGGCTTAACCCATTAACGC